AAAAAAAAAAAAAAAAAAAAAAGAAAAAGTTTTGTAGTAAAAGAGTAATCACAACCAAGCCTTTCTTCGGAAGGGCGTCGTTCCCTTTTTTCCTTTCTTTCTTTCTTTCTTTCCCTCTTTTCTTCCCTCCTTTTCCTTCCTTATCTCCTTCCTTATCTCTTACATCTTCTTATCAATTTTTTATGAGACCGCTTGATTCTAATTGCCAGAGGTAATTCCGTGACTAAGTTACTTATTGGAGTAATAAGGGGCCCCATGAATTATTAATGATATCGACAACGTCTTAATCGTTTATAAATTCGCGGAATTAACGTTGGATCGTTGCGGCCGAGGAGGAATCTTGTAATGTGGCGAAGGAAAATATTTTACGAGAGCAAGAAAAAGAAAGAAAGAAAGAAAGAAAGAAATTAAATTCGTTCGTTCTATAAATATGGAGGAAGATTGAAAAGATCGAGGCAATTAATTAGGAAGACGGGTCAGGAGTTTTAACTGTGGAGCAAATTTTATGTTATTCGTTTGAGCGAGGGTAAATAGGTAATTTTTAACTTATGGAGAAAAAAAAATTGAATTTATTTATTTGTATAAATAGCGAAGGATAATAGATTAGAAGCGTTAATATAAAGGCAAAGGAATTTTAATTATAAGAAATAGAAAAAAAAATGGAATTTCTTCGTTTATCCGCTTTAAAAATATATATTATAATGCGGGAAAAATTGGAAAAATCGAGGCAATTAATTAGGAGGATGACACGCTTTTGATATGGCATAAGAAAAAATTTAAGATATAAGAAGAATTAAATTCATTTGTTAGTATCGTGAAAGAAAATTGAAGAGATATTTCGATAAAAAAATTTTTTTCAAGTATTATATCGAATGAGATAACTTTTAATGAAATACGATAATTGGAAAAAAAAAAAAGAAGTCAAAACCTAATATAACAATTCATTTGTTATGCGCATCGTGGATTATCGTTATATTTTAAATTGGCTCGATAATGGAATGAAAACATCGGTATCGATAACCATACGCGAATATATTAAGTTGAATGGTGCTCGAAATTTATGCATCCATTGTGGAAACACATTAGATTAATCACTTATTAATCTATAACAAATATTCCGCATATACATCCCCCAAGATGAGATATACGAGGGGCTCGCCGCGTGAAACGCAGTATTGTTGCACAAACAACCGACAGAGCGAATCGGTTTTCAACACGTACAATATGAATTACCTTAATAAATAGCTTATCTCGTTAATTGACACGTATATCATTAAAGGACAATTGATCAAGATATAACGTCGACTGATTGTAATTGTTGTAATGAATTGTCGAAAATGTTTGCGCGTTTATGAACACAAAAATCTAAACGTAAATCTAAACGCGAAAAATTTAAACCTTTAACGCGAAATGCGGATATGCGAATTTAATAATAATTGGAATATTAATATTCGTATGTAATAAAATTAAATTTAAAAATTTATCATGTATGACGATATTTTATTCACGTTTCATTTGTATATTATGTAGGTTCGTTAAATATTCGTAAAAATTTACGAATTATCTTGATAATTAATAACTCGCTTTTTATTAAATCACATTGTTTGCGAGCTTTTTTTTAAATTATTCT